AGCGAATAAGACATTCAAGGTGTACTAATCGATACAATATTGTATGCATATATATATATATATATAACCCGTCAAAAGAAATGAATGAATAAATACGCTCAATGCATTTTTTCTTACATAATTTCAAAACTATGATTTATCTCATACTATAAATGTTAATATCCATCTTAGAAAAAAAGCTATGATTTCACTTGTTTAATCAATATTTTATATGTACAAAAAAAAAAAAAAAAAAAAAAAGAAGAAATCCATACAAAGCAACGACATAAAAGAAAAAGAAATCCAAAACTTTACAAAACAAAAGAAAAAGAGGAGCCTCGCCATTTTACTGTAAAGTGTTAATGTATAATCTTAAAGTTTCCCTACTGATGTAGGTGGATAATAAGATGAAAAAATAGATGTTGGATATGACGCTTTCATTGATGATAATGATGTATGGGCTGTACAAAGATGTTCAAGTAAACTCATATGATTTGCAAAACGTTTTCCACAAAATCCATCTGGAACATTTGATTCCATCCAATTACAAACAAATGCTGGTGGTGATGGATTTAATGGTGCTAAAATCGAATCCATAAAATAAGGAGATCGTTGAGATGATGATAATGATGATGGAGTAAAAGCTGAATTTGATGAATGTCCAAATGATGTTGTTGAAAAAAATGGTGATGAAGTAAATGTTTTACTTAAATGATGAAGAAGAAGAGAATCGAACATAAATGGTGATGGAGGATAATAAAATGATTGTTGATTAGTTGAAGGTAATGATGATGGAATTGTTGGTTGAGGAAATGCCATCTTTTTTGATGTTGGTGGTGATATTGAAGATGTTGATGGTGCATTACGTTTTAAGGATTTTTTTCCTTCTGATGGTGAATTTGATTTTCGTTGTTTTGATGTTATTGAAAGTATTGCTGTTGATGATGATGATGACGATGACGATGATGATAATTCTTTACCAATATTATTACATGCTTGAGCCATTAATACTAATGGGTTTTCTTTTTTCGGTGAATATTGATCAATCTATATGATAAATTTTTAAAATAAATTAAAAATAATACATACGAAACAAAACAAAAAATATCATTTTTACTGTTGGATTGATATATTCACCATAGAGTTGTTGCTTCTTCATTGATGCTGTCATTGAGTCAAGTGTGTAGATATGTTTAAGAGTAAATGTAAATGATGAGTGATTGAAGGTGGAGAATAATACCACACACAGGCGTGCGTTCGATCGATCATAAATCACTATGTTTCTCTCTATTCGATATAACAGAGAGAAGAAAGAAGAGGAAAAAAAAGAAAAGAAACGATTTATATATAGTCATTGGTTGAGAACGACAGACGTCGATTTTCTTTTTGACCAATGTCGATTTCGATGATGAATATTGATCGTGCTAGGCTTTTTTTTCTTTTTCTTTTTCTTTTTCTGTATTCATGTTTTGATTGACAAGTGTCTGTTGATGAAATATTTGAAAAAAAAAAAAAAAAACTTTTTTAATGATTGATTATTTTACTTATCAATTTTTTCGTTTTTTTTTTTTATATTAATGGAATTTGATCGATAGTCATTTATTTTGTTTTCTACCAGTTGTGAGTTCTTTGTTTTTTGTTCTTTTCGATCGATTTGATCGATTGAGTAAATGTGGGCAGTCTCATCTGTCTTTAGTGAACATATAATGATATCGTTTTCGCATCTCTTTCATCTTTCTTTATGAATCGATCGACGAAACAAAAAATCATAAATCTCGATTTAAGTGCCTTTCGTTGTCAGACATCGATCATTCAATGTATTATACATATACAAGAGAGTTCTCGCACTTGTTATTACATGACACAAACATTGCCGCCGACATGGACAAACTTCTTCGATACATTGTCTATTAGAAGAGTCGGCATAGAGCAGAAGAAGAAAAAAAAAAAGAAAATTACTTTGGACGTGCGAGAAAGAACATAATTTGAACAGATCAAAGAGATGAAGTTTGTTCTGTCCAAGATTAATGATACGCATATTGTGTGTGAATTGACATAAATATACACACGTAGGGAGTCGATCATATCGAAAAAATATTTTATCAGAAATTGTGTATAAAGATGAACATCATATCAAACACACCATGATACTAAGTGCTACTAAACAGAATGATCAATGATAAAACATCAAAAGAAAATTGACTCAGATTTATTTTGTTTCTATATCGATTAATTACATCATATATCATATTGTTCAAAGAGAATCAAAACATAACGGAATATCGTTTATCATAATCAAATATATTTATGTTAAGATTAAGAAAAAAAAATCATCGATTGAATTATTGCAATTGACAATTCGTTTACTTAATCGTTTATTTTTTTTTCTATCGAACAAAGTTAATTTTCATTTTTTCAATAGACAAATATGAAAACTTTTCAAATTACAATGAATCATTCGGAATTATTTTGTATTATTTTTATGTAATATATATTAAGTCACATATTGCTACTGAATTCCCATACACATCATAATGTAAGTATGATTTTATTTGTACTATCATATTCGTTTTCTTTTCTATTGTATTTTATGTGTATGCGAAAATATAATTTTGTTCTCATAGAAAGCGTCTATAGTAATTAGAATGACAATGATGACTTGCAAGCATTAAATGATTGGTAGTTTTTCTAAACTTAATGTTTTCATTAGGAAAAATAAATTTAAGCTCAAATGATAGAATACGAGGTACTTCTACAAAATATGATTTGCTCGATTAATTGACATATATTAAATGATATACAACCAACACAAGTGTGACTATGTGGGACTATGCATATCGTGTAGAAGTACCAACAAGCTATGTTTTCTTTTCAAATATAATATCTTTCTTAACGATTTTTATTTTTAAATAATTGTCGAAATCGATTATAAAATTATCATTTTTGATGGATGATGATTAATGAGTAAACTTCTTGTTGTATGTTTATATGGCTCGATTTCACCTATAGAAATTCTTTTCTTGAAGCAAAAAATAATATTTGTATTTAAATTTTAAGGCACAAAATTTTCTTTTCATGTCGATCCAAATACTAACTTAAGTACAAGAATATATGTAGCAACACACGAACTGTCATTATTTTGACTCTTCTTCACATTATACCATAACGAGATGTGTGTAATTTGAAGAATTCTAGATTTTTCTGACGCTTGTTTTTAGTAGTCGAACAAGCTTGAAGTTATGTACCTATCGAATTTTTCTTGGAGTCATTTTGAAAATGAGGTCATCAAAGTAAAAATTTTGTTTTTGAACTTAGCCCACTTTAAACTAAGAAAGATTTTTTGTTTATTTCATTTCCACATAATTGCTTTTTTGTCGAACTACTCAGATTGTAATACAATAATTAAATGCAGAATATCGAGCTTAATCAAGCGATAAAACACTTTAGTAAGTAAGAGACTACTCGCAATGAATCAAACATTCATTGTACTGAAATACCAATCCGAAGTATTCTGGTGACATCTTTTTGAACATTGAAGAAATAAGGAATGGACGTAACCTTAAATTATGAATCTATTTAGTTTTTCGTTCATAATAAATACAAGAATTATCTTTTAAAAACAGTTACTAATAGCTTTTATTATTTATTATATTCAAACAAATGAATTTATAATCATTAATATGTGTGCTTCTACACAAATATACAGAAAACATGCTGCGCTTAAAATACGTGCTGCTTTACACTTTCTCCAAAAGACAGGAGTGCACAAAGTACATTTTCATTCTAATATATTGAAAACTATTTTCAATTTAAAACAAATGTTTAAATTAGAGTAAAAATGTTTTTTTTTCATTATCGAAAAGTTGAGTTTTTATCACTCAAATTGTCTAAAAGCGATATGAACATGTAATTTATTAGAAATGAAAATGGATGAGTGTAGATGCTGCTGAGCTCTTTTCTTCAGTCTACACACCCACATCCTCACTCACACAAAATCGAACTCGTATATATGATTATTGAGAAACTAGAGAAATAAGTAGAACAAGTTTCTTCATTTTATATTGCTATCAAGGCGTAAGTTCACCACTTTTGATGTTCTTGCTCATGCAACATATTATGCAGACGTAATCTAGACGTTTTCAACCGTTTATACTTTATTTTGTTGTACATTTATGACCAAAGAGTGGGAAGCACTCGTAAAGCATATCTGTAATTTTCAATCGTATACAATTAAGATTTCTTTGAACAAAATATCCATCAGAATCAAAACTTTTATCGTAATTTTTCTTTCGTTGTGGAAAACATATGAGTTGTTCTTGTTGTTCTCAGTCATATACCCCTTTATAACGAGCTACCAATGACAAAATTGACCTTTTTGGGAGAAGGGAGGGGATGGCTTAAAAAGTAAGAATTTAAAAAAGTGCTCTGTCAACCGTGATATTGTAATAATTGATTGGAGAACATTTCATTTGAATTTGTAGGATAAAATTAACTTTAAATGAACATATTTAACGTTAATAATCGATCTTGATTAGTGAAATTCAATCTATCAGATTTCAAACAATTAAGGTTTTTATTGATTAGTAAACTTATGATCGATGTTGGGCTGCAGCTTGACTATATTCAAACGAATCATGAATGAGCAAGAAGAACAAAAATATGTTCGATTTTCATAGGTTAAACGCGTCAGCCCATTTCTCTGCTACATATATTCATTTCAATGAATTCATGTAGTGTTAGTGTGTTGGCTATCATCTAATCGAAAATCTTGTTGACACGATGAAAAACAAATGTCCTGTACAGTAAATCTCTGTTATTGTGTTATGTTTGTTTTTCCAATAAGTTGCTCACACCGTAGTTCACAACATCTTCAACAACGGCATCTGAATCAATAGGGCAGACAATCCTTTTATTTTTTTTCTTTCCGTTCCTTATGTGTCTAGATAGAAAATGGAGTGTTATATATGTAGCATGTACAGGTATTCGTTCGATCAATTGATATGATACTCACTTCTATCAATATGAAAACAGAATCAAAAGAACGATGGTGGTGCGATTGGTATTTATCACCATCAAATGATGAATATTTCCGAAAATATGAACAATTTTTCTTTCGATTTATAATATTAGTTCCGGTTGTTGGTATGTTACTTACATGGTCATGGTGGAATAATCAAACATTGTTAGTATATTTCTTTTTTTCACTATTAAAAATATTTCAAGTCGAATTATCAAAGTGAATAGTTTCCACTAAAAACTCTCTATTGTTATCATGGAAGTAAAATGTGAAGAAGGAGGGCGCGTGTAGCATACAATCCCTGTTCTTAATATTTGACTATGTATCATCCTCTTTTTGGATGCTTACCTATGCTGCGCCCCTCAACTACGCTTTCCTGCCTTTGATGGTGAGTTACACCTCTGATTATTATTCATATAACATCGAGAAACGACATATGACATTTTTTTTTGAACTTGCCTAGGGGTGCAACAAATCCTTGTTTATCGGCATAAAGATTGCAAATTTTCGGTATGAAGACCCACCAAATCCAACCAAATCTTTGTGCCAATTATAACCAGTATCGAGTAGAGCGAACAAAATTGGTTATAATTGACACAAAGATTTGGTTGGATTTGGTGGATTTTTCTATCGAAAATTGACGATCTTTATGTAGAAAAATAGGATTTGTTGCACCCCTAAACTCGTCAGTAAGAGTTATATATTCAATGGAATATCAAAATTCTATTTCTATTGTCGAACGACATTCTAGGACGAGTATAAAGAAAGTCTTCAGTGATCGCATATAGTATCAAGTACGACTGTATCTCCTTTCCTCATGTCGTATACGATATATACCACAAAAGTAACAGACCATACATGATTGCATGTGGTGTCGTATTCACATACTCTTTCCACCCAAGAGATATGGGTTTTCTCTTCTACCGTAAACAGGGAATATTATTATATTTTTCTTTTGGCAAAAAAAATACTATTTAATCTTGTGTTCGAATCGGTCTAGATGAAAAAACTGAATTAATTGTTTTTAAAATGAATACTCACTCTTAAATATAGTCTTTCATTTAATCTAGATAAAAATAAAATAATTTATTTTTAAATAAATTCTTAACTTTCATCAGTGTTATTGACATTGTTCCAAAGAAAAAAAATCATTTTTTTAAAGGAAATACTTATAATTATATTAGTTCCTGAATTTGATATGAAAAATCTGTACGCTTAATAAGTGCAATTTGACTTACGAATGATTGAGAATCGAATCATTCAGCCGAGTTCCATTTGAAGTTTTGTTACTTCCGATCTACTGAAATTAAGGTATCAAATACATGTTGAACTTTATGGCGGATGATGTAAAAGGTTTAGAATAAAGAATTGATTTACAAAGAAATTTGTGATTTTACATTAAATATCTTTTCATATGTCAATATTTTTAGAAAAACATCTTATTATGATGAAGTAAAATTTCATCAACTTATTTAATAAAAACTGAAGAGGAGATAGATAATTAATTTTGATGATTTAATTTATGAGTTTATGTATCTTTTTTCGTTAAACAAAATATGTTTTTTTTTGAAAATTCGATTTAGTTATGAGTAGACATGCACCAAATATATTTAACTTTTTTCAAGTACTTCCATTTATTGAAAGATCTTTTAACAAAAATTATGCTTCTAACAAAGGAAAGTATTGATGAAAATTTTCTGAACGAACAAACGGTTCAGCTATATAAAGATCTTACAATTTACCAAAATTGAGACATGCTGCATCATTGGTAAAATTGTTTGTTACAATTTCGAGTGATTCATATCGGACGAAGAGACATAACAAACGAGATAGATAAGTGTTTTTTTTAAACAGAAATTGTTCAGCATAATCTGGATGTGCCTTCTATAGATGAAGAAGCGTAAGATGAGAAAATGTAATCGATATAGAAAAATGTTGCTTGGTGTTTTGTGGTTGATGATTACATATATATAAGAATTTAAGAAAACGAAAATCTTGAGAGATAAGATTGAGGAATTTGTGTTCGAAAGGACGTCCATCAAGTATCGAACTTTATCAAACATGCCACCTTGAAAAGAGTTGTTCAGATAAAGAAAATATTCGAATTGAAAGGGAATTGAATAGATATGACATCGGCCTCTAGTCTTCATGGACCAAGTATGGGCATATAAACTAACTTGTCCATATCCTCTTCCAATAAAACTACATTGAACATCTTCATTTGATGCAAGATCAATTCTAATATTGTCATTGAGAACAGCTGTATTTATACTGAATGTTAATTTGTTCAGTTGTGGCATATAACAAAGAATTTCATCATATAATTTCATACCATCAATATAAGTCGAGTCATATCTTATTACTGATAGATATATTATCAATTCTTCAAGATTTATCATTCGTCGAAGTAATGAAATAACCAGTTGATCATAATAAAATGTGTCAGTATACGAGATTAATGAAAAACATTTCAATTTAGGAAGTTTTTTCTATAAAGAAAAACTAAAGATTACTATCTTTTCAGTTGTTTTTTTCTCAAAACACAATGATCAAAATAATAATACGTATCGTGTTATATTGACGTGACGGTGTTAACGAAATATTTTCCACATGAATTATCAATGTCGATAAACAATCGAAACGACCATCAAGAAGATAAAGACAGTCACGGAAAGTTGTGACTTTAATTATCAATTTAGTTAAAGTTAAAGACATACAACTTTTTGATGGTCGAGTAGGAAACCAAAGCGACAAAGTTCGATAACGAAATAATTGGCAAAAATTTAAACTGATTAATCTTTTATTTAAAGATAATATTAACTCAAACTTGCTTGAAAGACTTCGGGAGAAATCAATTATTGTATCAACTTGAATATCAATATTAAGATCTGTGATTTGTTCAGTAAGAAGATAACGAAGAACTGAATCATCTTCAAATTAAAAATAAAACAATCATTATTAATTTATATCTAACAAATTCATAATAATGGACAAAAAATATACCTGTTAAATATTGGAAAAGTTCTTCTTCTTGAAAACTAATAACTGGTAACCAATAAAACTGAGGATAATTAACCCTTTACCCACCATAGCAGTTCCAGAAGAGCCACCGATGAAATAACTTTATGAATGGAGTATTAGCCTGTCAAATATGCCAATGGTGTGGCCGAATCCACCGAATGTCCTGTTCCTGGAGTAGGGCGGTTNATCTTCAGTGGTCACCGGATAGGCTGGCCTACAGTATGGTCCATGCTAACTTAGCACGCCTGTATTGTCTCCTTGCAATTTAGTGATAAAAAACACAGTGAATATACCTTTTCACTTTTTGAAGTACACATAACACTCGGATTTAAATCCGAGGTTTTCGCATTTATTAATATTCAACATTCAAAAACCGATTAGATTCGAGAAAATTTCGGACGCGGAATATTTTGAGACAACAGCAATCATTTTAACTGAAACTTTTAGGAGAATCTCAATATGAAGAGACTTGTTTCTGGAGAAAACTTCATGGAAAAATCTTATTTTAATTTTCCTACCAGTATTTCGTGGATTGGTGAAAATCCAGTAAAAATATCGTCATTTTGTAGCGAAGATCGACGAGGCTGACAAGAAAAGTTTCCGAATGAATATTCGTTTTTGAATCTGAGGCATGTAAATCATGTAGATCCTAATGAGTTATGAATACTTCAAGAAGAGTTCGCTCCCATAGCTTATTGTTGCCAACACATTGCATCATTACGATGTTTTTCAATACAATACCTTAATTTCCCGTCAGGAACATCAGAAAAACTGGTTTTTGAGTTTCATCTTGGAATCTTGCACAGAAACAAGTCTTAACAAGAATACTTAATCACGAAAGTATCAAAAAATTTGATTTGTTTCTGTCTTGATATAGACACAACGAAAATATTTGCAACTTTCACAATAATGTATTTTTGTTAAGACTTGTTTCTATGCAAAGTTTCAAGTCGAAACTCGGAAATCAGTATTTCTGATGTTCTCGAGGTGGACCACGGCATTATATTGAAAAACATCATAAAAATGCAATATATCGACAGAAATAATCTATGACCTCGGACTCTTATCGTAATATTACTTCCATCATGAGTCGTTTCAGAGTCATTCTAGTCTCGCAGCCTTTTCTATAACATCCCGAATATTAGCTAAACGGTGATTAGTCACTTCGGATGGTTTCATCTTCAGCTATTTGAATGCATTATATGTAGTTCTTTCTCGAAATAATATCAAATCTACACGTATATGTCACAAAGTAAATAGGTTATCGGACTGGTAAACCATGGCAGTAATCATCAATATCTTGATCAATGTTCGCCCAGATAGACAATAGAAGCATTCAATTGTGAAATGTATTAGTTTTAAGGTATGCAGAATTAATGCTCATCGATTTCACTATTGCATCCCTATTTCAAAACAAGGTTAAACATTGAACTTAATTCCATCGTTGCTTGTTTGTTAACATGAAATAAGAAAATAAACTTCTGTAATTCTACATATTAAAATTTTCTCAGATTCTTCCAGCAACAGCTCCAGCAAAAACTCCAGCAAAAACTCCAACAGAAACTAGTTCAACATCCACAATGACATCACAAGAAGAATCTGCAACAAAAACTTGGCAGATAACATTTCATACATCAAATAATCCAAGTGGCAGCTTTCAATTACCAAAAAATCCGTCTATTAATGCATTGTTGAAATTTTCATTTATATCAGTAGATGGAAAAGATGAAACTGAACAATATGAAATTGAAATGAGAGATTTTCCTCAATATTTTAAATCAGATCGACAACATTCATTTCGAAGTAAACTTCGAAATATTGGTAAACCGAAACAAATCCGATTAATACTTGAACTAACAGGAAATGATGATGATGATGATGATGATGATGATATTAAATGGCAACTTGATCATGTAACAATAAAAAGCAACGAAGAATATTGTTTATTTTTAAGTTCTTTTTATATTTAGGTCGAACTTATTGATCCAAAAACTCAATCACATTATAAATTTCCTTGTAATCAATGGATTCGTCCATTTCAAGAAAAAATTTTTAATCTTTCAGAACCACTTCAAGATAACATTAGTCGTCGAACTTCAACAGCTACAACCAGTTCAAAATCTTCATCGTTATCTTCAAGTCGCAAAAAACCTTCTCCAAAGCCAACAATAGATGTACAAGGAGCAAAAACTTCTTCTCGTTCATCATCATCATCCTTATCATCATCATATGAATTAACGAAACGATTTGTACAAGTTCAAAAACCAGCAGTTGATCAAACACGTCGAATATCAACAGATAGTGAATCAACTAATGAAAAGAATAAAGTTCGTTACCGTATTAATATTTATCCATCGAAAGATGATGATGGAGAATTTAATGCTTCACCTGATGGTCAAATTTTCATACGTTTAAATAGCCAAACAAAAAATTCATTTATAGTTAAAAAAGATACGAAAGATTGTCCTTCATTTGAATCAGGTGAAAATCAATCATTTGATATTGATTTAATTCAAAACGAAAATGAACAGCCAACCAATTTAACGATTGGATATTATAATTCAAATATTACTGCGGGAAAATGGAAACTTGATAAGGTTTTTACTGTTTTCGATAGTTTCGTGTTTCGTTTTTTTATTTAAACAAACTTTTTCTTTTAGATTGTTTTACTCAATACAGAAACAGGTCAAGAAACTATTTTTCCTTGTAAAGATTCTCTTATAAGAAATGATCTTGATTTACGAGCGAAACAAACCTTTCAAGCTCAGTCAAAACCATCTGATGATCATGTTGATGGTGATGATGGACAAAGTAAGTTTTATTAAAAGCTTCGATTATTAAAAATCAAGAAAAAAAATCTTTCCTATAAATGCAATTAGAATTAATAGATGAACAACAAATATTTATGTATTTTCATTAGTTTTTTTGTCATGCATATCAATCATCTCATCTGATTTCATCTTAAAAAAAAGATAATTCAATATCAAATCTTATCGAACTAGCAATAAATATTTTATTTTCTAATGAGATTAATATTTTCCAGTCGAATTTTTTCTTGACAAAATGATAGAATCTGTGCTGTAGCTAGAAGTCATGAATCGATATTTCCCATACAATCATTTCTCGAAAATTCTGCTAAATGTTTTGAACTTTTAGTTAATTGAATTCAGAATTTGTATGTTGATTAAAATTTCCGATATCTTATCGAAGATATTAAGTTTCTGTAGAGACAAAAAACATGTTAGACTGATATTTCTTCATTTATTATCTTTATAATTCTTATTTATGCCATCAATCCTACCACTTAGCAAATCTTTTTTGCAAACAAAGGAGATTCGTTACTAAGGCGAAAAACTTATGATTTCGATAAAATTCTGTTTATGATATTTGATCAAAATATGTATTTAAGGTACACCTCGTAATATCTATATACCCAAACGTGTATCGCCACGATCTGAAAGTGATGAAAATATTCAACAAAAACAAGTTCCATTAACTGCAAATAATCAAACTCGATCTTCATCATCTGAATCACTTCAACAAGTAACAACAAAAAATAAGAATGATGAAAAATCTCCATCAATACGTTCATCTCGAAGTCTAAATGATGACGAAGATGAAGAAAGTGGTGATAACGAAGATAATGAATATAATAGAATGTTTAAAAAACAAAACTCAAATAGTGAACCTGAATTGGATTCATCAGCATCTCGACCAAAAACTCGACGTGGTCTTCAAAACACTTTTGGAAAAGATAACGAACAAGATAATGCAGACAATGAATCACGAAAAAATACTGATATATGGAGACCATCAAGTGAACTTGATAAAAAAGAACCAGTTGATCCTCTTATTGGTTTAGATGATCTTCAAGACCAAACATCAAGATCAAATGATAAAAAAAATCAGAATTCTTCTCCATCGACAGTTAATAATCAAACAGAAAATCAATTTAAAAATTGGTATCCTAGTAATACTGATGATGATGATGATGATGATGATGATGATGATGATGATGATGATGACCATGATGCTAAAGATTAAGACAATTTTTTTTTTTTTATCTATGATATTCACATCGATTTTATTTTAACACACATGCAGTGAATATGCTCTTCTTTATTTCTTTCTCTTTTGTTTGATTTTCGTATTTGTTTGCTTTCTTCTTCTTGTTTATCTTACAAATAAATTAATTTCGAAAAACTAAAATTAAGCAAGACTATAATCAACTATGAATATATGAAATGAACGAAAAGTTATTTCAATTGAACAAATAACATGTAATAAGCTTTTTGTTGAGAAACTAATTTGACACGAGTTCTTCCATTTATTAATGTTTACTAAAATTTTTTTTTCCGTTTCTGTTTTACTCTAATCATTAGTATTACAATCGAGTCAGTCGATATACTCTTCTATGACTTTGTTAGTTTCTGTTAAAACTTTCAACTTGTTTCAATTTTTTTTTGGGATATTTCGATATGTATATACGACAATCAAATGAGTCTGATAATGGAACTTATCGTATTAACACTAAAGAAGTTTCACTATATTCAGGTTAAATTATCACTATTGCCACCAAACTAAATAATATATTTAAAATATGCACTGTCTATGGCGAGTGTGGATCGAGATATCCGATTTTTCAGGTATTCACAGTTTTCATGTGAGGATTAAAGAATATGGTAACTATTCATCTTCATAGTTTTACACAATCACCAAATTTTTCATGCAGCACGTTGTCAAAATTTTGTTGAAATTTATTGATCTCATCAGGATCCCACTTGACTTAGGTTATTTCGAAAGTTTAGTCGCACTGTACTGGAGAAAAAAATCGGCAATCATTCACCAAATTCTATAAGTTATTCATACTTTCAATTTCATTTCATATGAAAGCAATAAATTCGTATAAAATAATCCGTATATCGATAGATTCACTTTAAGTGAATCCTGAACGAAGATTACGGCTCTCGGAAACGGTCGTATTTCGTCGTGTTACTTGGCTTGAGAATTAGACGCATATATCTTGTTGTGCCATATGTGATACTGTATGTCATTGTATTCACATTAACTATCTCTTCGTGAAGAGAAAGGTGACTTTCTCTTTCTCTACTCTCATATAAAAACAACCAATAATAACTTTTTTAAAAATTACAAATCAATAATTATAGTGCAACATCAATTTTCAATTAAAAGTGATAAAAAAATAATAAAATTTGTTTATGTGAATAAACACTCACCATTGAATTTAGTGCTTATATTAATCTAATAAGAAAAAATTTACTTTATTGAAGACAATCACTTACTGTTCGATTTGTTGTTTCAATTAAACTAAACGAAAAAAAAAAAGAAATTTATTTTTCTAAATAAACTTGCCATTGAATTAGCTACTGAATTGAAAACGAAAAAGCTATACATACAGTAACTGCAGCTCACCTCACAAATAAATGACGACTATAAACGATTTTGTACTATGGTTGTGTAGGATAGTCATTTACGTTCAGCGTTTATATTATTCGTATTTTAACATATGGCATCGTATACATTCATAGTTATAGACAATGATCGTCTTTTGACAGATGTGGGTGGTGGGACTGAAGACTCACATTCACACCCATACCCCATCTTTTTTTATTTGTTACAATATATTCTTTCGCATTTAATTACAATTCAACTTTTAACATGTTCCAATATTAAAAACTTTATTCAATATCATATTTGATTTGTAAATATTTCGTATTCATAGTATTGCTGAAGCTAAATAATCAGAAAAAAAGATTAAATCAATAATAATGATTTTCATTTTTCTGATGTCAATCATCTGATTCTGTCATCGAGAGAGATGAGAAACTATTGCCCTGATTCCTGCCTCTTTCATCGTCACTTTTTGATGTTAATGGTGAATGAGTTACACTCGAAAAGTTTTCGTTCACATTTCTGAGAAAAGTGTATGATTTTTTTTTGCTTTGCTAATATCACCAAAAGATTGTCGTGATACAGTCGACCAATTACGATCTGTTGTTAACACAATAACAATATTCAATGATGTTTATCGGTCTGTTGATTTTCTTGGTGATATTAAAGATGAAAAAGCCTTTATGATTATATCTGATACACTTAGTCAACAAATAATATCTTATATTCATGATATACGTAAGGGAGGGAAGTTACCGTTACGTTACTAAGTAACGGTAACTTTCCTTCCCTATATATACCACAATTACATTCAATATGTTTTTTGTGTAAGTAAATCAAAACATGAAACAAATTTACTTGATTATCATATAGAAATCGATAAACTTTTATCGGATATTGAACATCTGATTAATAATGCTCAAATATCCGAAAAGAAATTAATTATATTTATGATTGATGATGAACTTTTATAAACCTTTGGTAATCGTCGTAAAGATATTTTTTCATAAATAAATTATTCTGTATATTTCTTTCATAGCAAAAAAAAAGAGAACAAAAAAAAAGAAAAGAAAATATCAACATCAACAAACAACATGTACAAATCAAAAAGAACTAATTGTCAGAAAAACAGAAGTTACTCAGGTTAGATCATGAGCTTGTTGTGCAACATGTACAAAAAAATCATATTTATTTGTTTTTTGTTCATCACATTGTGCACAACGAAATGGATTATCTGATGAATAATGTAATTGTTAATATGTACAGTATATTGCAAAATCTTTAAGAATAATTTCACAATGAAAATATTCAAATAAACGTTTTTTTTATCATCCATCGACAAACTCTAGTTGATGAATGAAATTTTGATTAGAAGATTCATTATTTGAACATAATTTTTTTAATATTTCATCTTTTCGTTGTCGTTTTGTCGATGGAAAATAATTTTCATTAGATTCATTTTTAATACATAATGATGATGAACTAGCTGTAGATAAATGAGATTGAATTTGTGGTATTAGAAATTGTTGATATGGACCAATACAATGATTTAATTAGAAAAGAAAAAGAACATTTATTTAGATTCATTGTGGGAAAGAAATTATGCTGCAATTTTATGTTATCATAAACTGACTTATTGAAAAGCTTTCAGGATAATCTCTATAGGATTCAAATATACAAGGCGATGGAACCATTCTATAATAAAGAGAAACTTCTCCGTTACATCTGTCATGTTTATCTTTTTTTTTGGAGTGCGGAAAGAGGCTCAACCTTTTGACTAAAAACTTCAATACTTTCTAAGTATCGTGTTTCATAAAAGACGATTGGCATTTTTTATAGGAAGCGAATGTAACTTGAAAATCTCTTATAGAAGAAAAATTATCCGTGAAATCTTGTGAGACACAATGGAACTGTTTTATTGTAAACGTGAAGATTTTAACAACATTTAGGGGTTTAAAATCTCGTAAAAAATGATCTGCCACGGATTGAGATCGTCCAATAGAGTCTCAATTTGACCGAGTTTGTGTCTGATAGACATCAATATTTGACACCGTCTGCGAAGTGTAATATCTCTGCATACTATCCTCTAGACAAGGGTACAGAATCTGCCCCTAGCCTGAAGCTCCGCTCCAGGCTAAAACCAAATTTTTTGGGAAATCAGGGAAACTTAGGACATCGAAGACTTTGTCTCGCATGTCTATAGGTCGGAAAAGCTTCCGTATACTTTTCAATGCTCCAAGTAAGCTCCGGCAGATCCTGAACCCTATCTTTAAGTGTAAAATATTTGAAAGAAATGATTACCTGTCCAGTTGATTCACTTGTATTTGTAATTCGTGAAATTTTTTCATTAAATAATTTCATTAACTTTGTAGCAGGATCAATTGTTGCACTAGCTAAAAGTGATCGATTAAGTAGATCACTTTTTTTACAAGCATTTTGAAATAAATTTACATCAAGACCCTCTTTTGATGCCGCACCATAATCACATAAACTACTAACAAGTGGTGATAATATTGATGTTGTTATTTGTTGATTTATTAAACCAGTTTGATATTTATCAGTTGATATTGGTGATATAGCATGTTGTAATGAATCAATTGATGATGTTGATGATGTACGTTTATTAAGAACTGATGTAGAATTTATTTTACGTTTTTTTGATGTTGATAAAGGTATAAGCACAGGTGTTGTTGATGATGAATTACTATTATTATTTATTGTATTTATATTATTTAATGATGTTAAATTTCCATTTGAATATTCTTTAAGAAATTCTTCAATATTTTCATGTAAATATGCTTCATATTCTTCAATTTAAATAATATACTATTACCTTGTGCATAAATTTTCGACATCCATTTATGACTTTGAATATCAATTACTTTCACACGTTGTGCTGGATCATGAATTAAAATTCGATGAAGAACCCTAGTCGACTCTCCCTCAATAAATCCTCCAGGGAATCCCCGGAGAGATAAGAGGGAATTCAGGGACTCCCTGGGGACTTCCTAGGGACTCCTTGGAGACTGAATAAGAATTAACAAGGACTCTTTAAGAAGTTACGAGAGAGTCTCCTAAAAAATTCAAGTTCATGGAGATTTGAGAAGGGCTCCCTAAAAATTAGGGACTCGCTGGGGAGTTGCAGTTTGAAGAGACTCACCGAAGATTTCGCAAGGGAGAGTTGACTAGGAAAAATTAAGCATTATCATATTGTCAATTTTTTCCCATGGATCTTGATAATACAAACCAGCTAACCAACGTTTATATCCAGGATCTTCATCAGATGGTTGATCCCATGGAAATTCTAAAACAAAATTAAATTAAAAAAATGTTATAATAAATTTACTTCCAGTTAACATTGTTGTTAGAACAATACCACAAGACCAAACATCAACCAGATCGAACAACCACGCTCGTAAACGATCGTATACGGAGAAATACGGGAAAATACATGGTCCCGTATTACGATCGTAGATCTCTGTGTCGTTTACGGAGAAATACGGTGATATATGGAGAAGCAAACGATCGTTTGCGGTCCTCGTTTACAAAGTCGATATACAATCTCCGTTTTGCTTCGTATTTCTCCGTATACGATCGTATATGTTCGTATACCGTCACAGCGATATACGACCGTTTACGGTCGTTTACAGTCATATACGAAGTCCACAATCGTCAATCTCGGCAGCAGGTTCACCTCGATATGGTGTTCTAACACAGACCTAAAAGAAACTTTTTATTACATTGTATTCATTTTCATTATAATCAATTTACTTCTGATGATACATATAAGGTCGTGTACCATAATAGGTAGTCAATATTTGTTCATCTTTTGTTTGCTTGATTACGAACAAATGTTGCCAACAAAAATCACAAATTTCGATAATATCTAATCATAGAAAATAAGGCATTTTTTTTATTAATTATTATTTTACCATTATTTGCGATGAGAACATTTTCTGGTTTAAGATCTAATAAAAAAAGAATTAATAAATCTAATTAAATTATTCTCAAACCTCGATGTGCTACACCAAGACTATAAAGATAAGCCTAAAACAAAGTCTAAGAAATTCTTTTTTTTAAATCGATTTCTACCATTCCACAAACAACTTGTTTAAAATAAAGTTGTGCGAGACATTCTGGAATTCCACCATTAGATTCTAAGCAAGAAAAAAAAGATTCGTTTTTTTATTTTTCTATGATTAATCTCGAACTAATTTTCTTGAATAGTTCATCACCAGCAGCATGTTCAAGAAATAGATAATAAGTTGAATCATCTTGTATATGACCGTAAAATCGAATAATATTTTCATGTTGAAATAATTTATGTAAATTAATCTAAATGTTTTTTTTTTTGTTTTTCAAAAAAAAGAAAAACTAAAGAAATAATTAATACTTCATCTTGTATGTCAATATTCGTTCCTTTTAGGGGTCATCGATAAAGGACGTCTCCTAAAAAATGACCTTTTTTTGACTACCCCTTCGTCTGCCCGGGGGTATCCGTTTTTCTGCTGACCCTTCCCTCCAGAGACCGTCACAGGGCATGTTTTTTTCGCCCTGTCCTGCCCTCTGCCCTGCGTTTCTTTGCCCTATCGTGTCCTGAAAACAGAGCGTCATTTATTTATTTTTGCCCTGACTTGCCCTCAGGACTTGTAGATTGATTCTATGGCAGAAGACAAAATTGACAAGGAGAAAAAACCTCTAGCATCCTTCTTTTAGTATCCATACTTTATTTAGATCATATAAAAAAAAAATTCTACAATATGTTAATACAAGCCTCAATAGAAAAAAATACTATCTATCAATCAACATTAAGATATATATATTATAATCAATGTTGAGTATATGTATAAAACTAAAAAAAATGAAAATTTTTTGCTTAAAAAAAGAATATAATTTAGAAAGCATAAATACCATGAAGATGTATCACAACAAAAGCAAAGTAAGAAATAAGAATGATCTTTAATTGTTTATTTTATCTTATCAAATACCGTATTAATTAATTAAATTCCTTATATGTCGCTTGAAACTCGTGACAAAGTCAATTTATTTGCTAGGCAGGTTCAAAACATGATTTTTCGAATACACTGTTTACTTATTTTTGAAAACTGTTAGCAAATGTTGTACTTTAAAGTACTATTACGGGTGATGAATTTACATTAAGGAAAATTTATCAAACCGATAAATCTAAAGAATTTAAATCCCATGTAAAGTTATTAAAATTGGGCATTCAAATTTTAAAAAAATTTAATTTTCAGAAATTTATATTTAATATGAATTTACAGGAAAATAAGGTCTCTAAGTACTCTCCGTTTAAGATTTGAAGAGATAATTTTCATAGAAGAAACTTAGTTCATGTATAGTTTAGATATTCGACGATTGCTTATCCTAAGTACCCTTGTTCAAATCTATTCCTCCGCGAATATACGATAGGTTTCGACGCTTCGGGACTGAGATATCTACTAAAAAGTTCCGTTTCTTTTGGTGCCCTCCGTTAAAATCGCTCTACCGGTCGAAAACACTATGTTTTTTTTGATGCATCACCGTGCTCTGTAAAAAAAAAAAAAAAGGAGCTTTGCAGAACGGTACCCGATAGTAGAACCCTTTTTGAGGTTCTGTAGCTTATGCAGAGCCTTTTTTGTGGTTCTGGAAAAGCTTCAGAACTCTGAAAAGGTTCTGCTATCGAGTGCCGTTCTGAAAAACTCCCTCTTTTTATACAGAGTGCCCTCGACCTACCGGAAAGTGAGAATCCGAGCTCTCGATTTTAAATTTCGATGCCCTCGTCAAACTCAAATCGACGCGTCGAAATGTCTATCGGATGTCCATTTAGGCATGTATTCCTTCGTCGTTCTTCTTCTTTATGTGCATTGTGTTATTGTCAAGGGGAAAAAGCGAGACTTCATCGTACTTCACCTGTACTTCTCTAATTTCATTGTACTTCAAGCACAATTTTGAAGTACGAGTAAAGTACGAGTGAAGTACGGTGAAGTACGTGAAGTACTAAAGTCGTGCTTTTCTCCCCTTGGTTATTATTATTTGCATGAATCGAATGATAACCAAAGCGGTACGAAAATATTGTTGCTAAAATGTATATTGAATGAATTGTAAATGTGGTCAAGTCATAGCGACGTCTGAGGTAAATGTACATTAAATGAAAGATTATGGCTAAAAGCCATTTTTAAATTGAGTGTGTTAGTTCATATTTAACCAGGGCAAAAATTATTTACCTTGTCCTGCCCTGTGCCCTGATGACGGTCTCTGATATGGATCCATCAATAATTTCGTGGGAAAAAATCAATTAACTATTACTCACTTCGTCAAGTTTCTAAAAAAGGTGAACTTATAGTAGACATGGTGAGTAAGAATATTATTGTTTATTCTTGTATGTTATAAACATGTCTCAGTTTTCTTTTGGTGAGATTTTAGAATGAACCAACCATAAGTCAATTTGACTAAACAAAGATCATACTTGTTACGATATTCATAAAATTATTTGAATAATTCTCTCGTGAACTCTTAAACTCAAGAGTACTAAAATTTGTTTTGTTCATTGGACATTGTATGCTCTTTCCTTTTGTCGATACTCAAAATAAAATAGGCAACAAAAGTTAAAACCTTTTTGTTAATGTTATTTTTTGATTTTGTAAGAAACTTTGAACATGATTTGAGATGTGATTAATACACACTGCAATACTGGCTACAAGACCAGTATTAAAAAACGCTTTGTTGCTTGTTTTTTTTAACTTGATTTAAATTGTGCTTCGGTGGCCAAGAGTTTAAGCTTTTGCTCTTGTGTGATTTTTCCAAGCCTAGATATTTTACTTGAGAAAATTGAAAATTATGCAGATCGATGTAGAATTTTGTGCTTTACATGTTGGTAAAAATTACTTTATTTGATATTTGTTAATATTGACTTTGAAATTTTAATATTATCGATATAGGGTAGAAAAATGACATGTAAATGCAAAAAATTTATCCTGAAAGCTTACTCTAATATTCAGTATAGAGCATCAAATATTTCTTAGATGTGAAATAGATCTTTCATACTCTGTTTTAATGCACTCAAGTTGTAATGTTCAGTGAACTTCGTACATAAAATAGTCAACATAATTGTTCCACTATTCGTATTTTTATATTTATGTTCTAGAAGAACTATATCTGACATAGCTAGGTCTGGGATTTTGTGAAAAATTTACACTCAATTGTTGCAGATAATGCGTGCAAATAGATATTGCAAATCTTGGGGAAAACTGAATGAATCAGAAAAAGAATAGAGTACGATTATTTTTGAGTCTCCTTCGAAGCACTTACTGGCATCTTTTCACGTTTGCTTCATAAACAATTGAAATAAAGCTGTATAGAATTAAATATTTTGACTCTTCAGCCTTTATTCATGCTCCTCTTTTTACAAAAAAAGCAATCATATACCACACACACTTTGTGAATATTACTATAGCTGATTCCTATGATGACTTCCCTCTTGAATTTATCTGTTAAGCATACAAATAAAGTGTCAATGTCTGTAATTCTTGTTTTGCAATGACAATGAGACATCATAAAAGATAAAGCAAACTGAGTTGTGTCTCCATTAAAAAGACATCTAACGATGTATCTATTGTTTTTTCATATGCATACATTTGATGATCTTAAATAGATATTGGTAAATTATGTAGTCAATAGTTTTTTTAATTAGAAGTAATGCGTCACTTTTGAAGTTCACACGCAGCTTTTGGGCCTAAAAATAAACTCTCATGGATGAAGCGAACTGGAAACTTTGCGAATTCTTGGAAGTTTCTGTTCGACATTTTATCACAGTCTCATTTTTGATGAACGGAAAACTTCGATACAAAAGCTTGAGTAGATAATATTTTACTCTAAAGCGTTTCTTCCATATGAATAAAAACACTGATAGAATACTTATGACTCCAAATGTAAGAAATAAGCCACCCATTGCTTCAATCACCAAGCTGGTCGACGTATCGGATGTATCAGGACAACTACATAATTGAAACCATCTTCTTTTTAAGTCATCAAGAGCACCGGACTCTCTTAATGATAATATGTTGACATCTAAATCTTGTCCATATAACCATTGTTTAGAAACAACAATACCGAATGCACTCTTATCGAACTCTGCACCTACCAAAGTCAAATTGCAATACACATTATTCGTTACATATTCACCAGTACCACTATCCATCAAAGATGCATCGATGATACCATTAAGCAGACTTTCATACATGTCTTTTCGAGAACTCAATGGATAAAAATTTCGATTTCCTCCAGAAATTTCTCGTAAATAATACTCTTCACCAACTGTGCCTACACGAACACCAATACGATTAAATGGAATTTTGCCACTTTTTATATCATCAATTCCAGTAATGATATTCTTCGATTTTGATATTGTTAAATCAGATGCTAAGTTAGCAGTATATGTTGCTACCAAAACTAAACTTAAAAAATATAGACCAACAGTTAATAGACGTCCAGCAGCAGTTGTAACTTGAAAATCTGCACCATATCCCATTATTGTGCCAACAGAATACCACCAACTCATTATAACAGAAGACATAAATGATCTATTTTGTAACGCTGGGTTATCTGGTCGTTCTAGTAGACAGATGATAACAGCAGCAAAGATAGTGATAATTAAGAGTATCATCCAAAGACTAAATGAGAATGGTCCTAAAAATGCAAAGAGATCCACAGTATTCGGAACTTTTGTTCGCATAATTATGCGTGTGGAAGTATCAAATATTGAATTCGAAAATGCGACCTTTTCTCTTCGCGCAGCAGTCATTGTGACATCTCCTATTACCATATCATAGACGCCATTTTCAACTGCATCAATCAATCCGGAATATGTCTGATTGGAGGGTACTAATATAATAGTAGGGACAAATGCCATCTTATTTTGCAAAAGTTGAACAAGATCAGACACATAGCCAACTAATTTTGTGGTACTTTGTCCATATTTATCTGTAACATTTGCGACAGTTGTAAATGGAATGGACTCAATAACACCAATACGTAAGTTCACACCTGTAAGTTTTGCATGTCCACTAGGGGGCAGTAAAGAATTACCAGGCCACACAATAGCCTTGGGTTGTGATGACGGTCGCCAATCGTCAGAATCAGTCCACTCCAATACTGGCACATAATCCACACCGTTTGAAGAAGTTTGAACATTTTGAGCCAAATAATAAGTACCATTTATTCGATGTGTTGCGTTTGCACTAAATTGTATTGGACCGGTTACACCAAGAAATTCAGTCTGAATGATAGTATCAAGAAAAGCCTTGGAATTCAAAAAACGGTTATCAAAACAGAATGAAGCATTGAGAGTCGATATGCACGGAGAAGAACTATTCATTGTTCTCGAACAAAGTTTTTTCAATGACAAAATCAATGACCAAGTCGCATCAAATGCAAACAGTGCATAGTTATTGACATTTGCCGGCCCAGGAAACGATTCCGGTTCGTACTTGTTCCAAATATTATATGCTGCACTTAACAATGTGCTATTTACGGACGCACTTAAAACATCTCCTACTGTAGGTTCGATTGTCAGTATTCCAACTAACTTTTTATAAAATGTTCGATTGAACGCGTTCAACGGTACTCTCGAACTTAATATCCATGTAAATAATGGACCGAGCACATCAGACTCAAGCGCAGATTGTATAATGAGAGTTGTATACATGGATTCAGCCCACAAAATTACAATTCGTGCTGAACTACTAATTAAAGAGACTTTTAAATTCCCTTGTATACTCCTTGACGCTATATCAAACACGATTGTTTGGCTAACTACCAAACCATTGTTATGAAATGTCTGGCTTATTGCTTTCACACCACCTGATCCAAATGCATCATTTTGATAGATAATTACGCATGAAGTCCAATTAAACTTGACGAAGAGTTTTGCAATCGATAATGCAGCTGAATTATCCGAAGGTACTGTACGATAAAATGCAGGGTACGCTGCTCGAGCAGTTAAGTCAGGATCGGTTGCAGCGTAGGATATCACTGGAAAGCCAACTTTTTCAGCAAAAGCAGCAATAATAAGAGTTTCTCTCGAGAATACCGGGCCGACAATGCCGATGATATTCGCCATAGACATTGCAAGACAAGTACCGCTAAATGCATTGATTATGTCACCACCAGTTCCAATTGTTTGCCATCCAATGAATTGTCCCTCGATCGTCATGTTGTATTCGTGAGAAAGCATCAGTGCTGCTTTGAACATTGCACGAGAATGAATAGACAACGGACTAGACATCGACATGTTCAATTCATCTTCAAACATACCCAATACTTGTATATTTGAAACGTATGTCGATAACCAAGATGCTCTCGCATACTGTGTATTACGTTGTTCGAATATGAGAAGTAAGAACAGCAATTGAACGTTCCGCAAGTACAACATCGATCTGTTGGATTAAAACGCAGAAATGATGGTTGAGAAAAGCTCTAAAAAAACTGTGATAAATCACACAAAAATTTTACACACGATGTGAATTTCAAAACCTAGTGCACATTTTCTTTGTATTAGTTAAATAATAACTCGATCCGTCATGAGAAGCAACTTGTGGAGATGTTGCTTCTAGGTTTGTAATTTTAGAAAAAATGCTAGGTGAAAACTATAGTTACTATTATTATAGAGCTACGACACTGATTCACTGATAAATGTGTGTGTAAGTCAATAACTACTCAGAACTTACGGTCTCTCAATTTTTAACATCAAAATGTATGCCATTGAAGTCCTACAAAATATTGTATTCGGATCGACTTGTTGAAAAACAATCGATTGGACAAAGAAAAAAAATTATATATCCCGATAAAACCATTAAGATGTAGTGAGAAAATATGTCAACTAAGAAATTGTATTAGAAACTTGCGATACTTTGTTTAGACAATTTGATGTAGTTTCACAGAAATAAAACATATCTATATTTAATCGAATATACCACTTTGTAAACTATTCGTGGTAACTTCGTTTGGTTTGATTATTTTCTAGGTCGACTCAATCACTGTCATCTGGCAACAAATTCTAACATTTGTTCATCAAAACAATCAAAGAACTGAGTCTTACTAAATTTCATGTCACGACGAGTTTTTCATAGATCCGCATAGCTTTTGTAAACAATTGTATCAGGAAGTACTCACGAGTTTCAACAATTTTTTTATTGCTTTTTGCTACTGTTAATCTCAGTTTTGGATGATTGTTACTATTGTGTTGGCGTAAATGTGAGCTTGACACATTGTAAGAAGCGAAGGAGCGCCAAAAGAGAGAATGTCAACACTGCACCGAAGCTGTAGCATCTAAAGCACAATGGTTATTTGGCATCATTTCGACAATATCAAGAGCTGCATCCCTCTCATGAGACATGAATGCATTACTGATGCATTGATAAGCACGCAACGTTTTCCTCAGCCAATGTGAATTGTTCGTATTGGTGCACAGATACAGAAAAACAAAAACCTTTATCTAAGGATTAAACTGTTGTTACTACTTTGTAGCACATTAGGCTTGCTATGGATATTTACTTAAGCTTGTCTATTCAAGGACGCACCGAACAGTGAAGAAGCTAATGCGAATCAAGCACTTCCTCAGAAAAAATCCACGTGGCGGATTTCGGCAAATACTCTCTAGCTTCTTAGCCCTCGCTACTAAGAATACTCCTATGTACATGCTTGCGTCGATGAGATGATGCTCGATAATATATTCAATCCCATCTTACTATTGTGGATAAACTGTACGGGTATTACGATCCTGTTCGCACGGAACTTGTGTATCAGTGCGGAGAACGTATGTGTGAACACGAAAAGAGAAGATAGAAAGATAGGAAATGAGAAAGGAGAAAAGAGCAAATACAGAGAGACATTGGTTGATAAATAACTTCTGTCAAGAAAGTCTTGGCACAAAATACTCGTTAATTGTTCGGTCATTTAAAGGCAACTAGTGAGAATCAAAAGGAGTTAGTGAAACTCAGAATTTTGCGCTCTCTCCAAATATGGACTTATAAATGTTGTATCTCTTTTTGTTCGAGAGTAGTTATAGAATCTTTGGAAGGTCTAAAAAAATTGTTTGGACAGAATGAGTGAGCCGAAGTTTCTGGACACGGTGTCCGTTCACTGTTGGTCTGCTTAGAAGAGTTTCAGACGAGATAAACAGTATGTGTTATGATTATAGCATTACATGCTCTTTCTGAATATGGACTCAGAATTTGTGTGTCTGTTTTGTTCGAGAGAAGTGAGGGAATCTTTAAAAAGCTTAAAAATTGGTTTGAACGGCGAAAAAAACAGGTTTTTGCTAGCTCCCATAAGTTCATTTATGAAGATGCTAAAAATTGTTGAAGTTAATACTTTTTTTGAACGAACAGTTCTTTACAAAATATGATATCGCACTAAACTATAGCTTGAAGCTATAAGCATTTTCTCAAGAACTACTTTCTACGTAAAGTATGCTTCTGTAAAAAAAAACATTGGTTTTTCGCAGATGAGAATGATAGAAAAATCAAAATTGCAATGTCTTATCATAAGGCAAAAGAAAAACCAAATAGTATGTTTTTAAAGGTAAATTTTGCTCTACAAGATGATATATCAACAAAAGCTCTAATTTTGAGTTTTGGATCTCAATAGTGAAAGTGTACTAAAATATCTTCTGTCCAAACAATGTTTTTTAGGGCTTTCAGAGATTCCATCGCTACTGTCGAGCGAAAAGAGACACAAAATTTCTGAATCCATATTTGGAGAGAGCACAATATTCTGAGTCTTACTAACTGTTTTTGATTCTCACTAGTTGCTTTTAAGTGACTGGAAAAGGAGAGAGTACTTTATGTCAAGACTTTCTTGACAAGGGTTAGAACAGCTAGAACACAATGCTCAACAGACGACGTAGTTGAACCGCCCAAACGAATAGCAGTAGTGGACTTCTTGAAATCCTTTCTGAGATTCATTGGAATGGCTATTCTGTATTGGGAATACACTCTCCGCAGTTTCAATTGATATGTCAAATGGTACCCTAATACATTCATTTCTCTTATGTGTCTTTGCCATCAGACTCATGATCTCTTCATTCGCTCTACACTGTTTTCATCTATGTCTGTCCTTGTTTATTTGGTATTCATTTCGGGTTTGTGCTATTGTTTTATTGTCCATCGAAGTACATGATCATATCTTGTAGCAGCATCATCGTCTTTTGCTAGCCGGTGTAGGTGATCTAAAATGATCCTCAACTCATTTTCTAATTATTATTTTACATGCTCTGTCTGTTTCAGTAACCAAATTTTCGTGATTTCATGCTTCACCGTCTACATGACACGAACTAATACACTTTTTGTCAACAATCAGACTTTAGTTCACTTTTGGTTCTGCTGATGGCGAAGCAACTGTGTGACGCGTTTCGTTTAGTACGCGTTTTCTATTTCATGTCATGATGAAATAGAAATATTAATAAACTGATCATCATTTCTGATTCAGGCAGGAAATCGAAAAGACTTCACCACCTTTTAGCATTTGATTTTGAAAGAGAATGAGTGTGAGTGTGAGTGTGAGTTGGTGAGCGTGATGTAAGCTGGAGGGAGAAGGTCACTACTAGATTTAGTTAAGAGAAAGATGAATAAACATTTTCCAGTCAGTGGGATATACGCAAGACGAACTGATTTATTCACAATTTTTATTGATCAACCTCACGTGAAAATTCAACAAACATATACCTAAACATAATTCATTCTACATATTCTTGATCTATTCACGAGGAAACTGTACAGCATTTTGAAGCATTCATGATTTCTGTAGAAATATTTTGATTCTGTATCCTTTCATTTTTTATCCTTTCAGCTAATCCTTGAGCATCATCAGAATGCAGCACTTCAATAAACTCGAATTCATTTTGCACTGTCGTAGCATTTTTCCCGAAAGACCTTATTCCTTCTCCACTAAATTCTGATACATATGTCAGATTTTCGTGAAACGAGATTATGCAGAATCAACACTCGAGGATCAACTTCTGTTTATGTTGCAACCAGGTACTTGATCAATATTTAGACTACTTGCTTCTTTTCTTTTCCTATTGGATTTACAAATAAGCTTGACTTCTTGTTATGTTAAACTACTTTTTAGAATTTTCAGATTCATCTTTCACTTACTCAATAAACAGACTACAACTGACGAAGATCAGTTATTTGGTTACATGTGTTGCACCATTTTAGTTTTTTGATGAAAGTTATCAAAAAAAATTTCAAAACCTTCATCATATTTATGGCATCGAGGAAATATGACTATATATGCATAATCGAAGTTTTCGAGGCTGTATTTCCCATTTGGGAGATATGTGGATAGGTAGATTGGTACTTTTATCTTGAAGAAACTATATATGTTGATTTATATGTTCATACAGGTGTTTTACCACTAGTAATGTAATATGCTGTTAAAGAGTTATGATATGCACCTTCATTACAATACTTTTCAAGCAATCACTCTAATTCTTTGTAGGAAACTTCAATAACTCTAATATTTTGTTCAAGAGATATGCACACCTGGAACTTCAAAATCAACTGCTTAGGAGCATTATATTTTTGACCAGCCCAATGGAATACCCTCTTATTTGATTTGCTTTTAGTGATTCCATCGTGTCTCGATCAATATCGTTGCCGACTGCTCAATGCAGAACTCATCGACCGTTATTTCTTCATTTTCTGAATTGTATAGAAGACCTATTGTAGCAATATGCTGTCATTTTTTCCGTCCTGGAAGTTCTAAGAGCAGAAGCTATCTTGTCCAGATATTTGTTCCAATGAGAGTTGGTCATTTTTCTGAGTCATATATATTGAATACTTAAAGAAAATTGAAAGAATATTACTTTTCGTTTTCGTAACATCTTTTGCATACGAAAATAGATCCAAAAAAAAAATTAAGAAAAGAAAGAAAGAAAGAAGAAAATAGCATAGAATCATCAAGGCTTCTGACAGCTTCTCTCCCGAAATTCGTTCTGTTATGTCATCATCATGATTAAAACTCATTCTATTATCAAGGCTCTGCTATTTTCAAGCATTTTACAGACATATGTTCGACGAAGTTTCTTATGGCTGACTTCTACATTGAGGAGAAACGACTACACGAGTGGATAAATGTCATGAAAAAAAGTGAATCTAACTTTTCACTCTTTTAGGCTGTTCTTTCTGTAACTACTGTAGTGACTAATGCAGCACGATTTTTGCCATAAAGTTTGTTATCATATACAGATAAAGTATGAAAAATACTAATGATCTCGAATAGCAGCTGGTGTAGCAAAGAGCTGCATTACATGGGCGCAATGTTTGCGTAGCTAAAAGCTTCTAATTTATTTGCATCTAGCCTATAAGCGAACTGACTTGTGACTATCTACATTACACACCTGTCGAGTCAATGTTTTCTCATCTTGTTCGAGCTCCGACAGTAACAGAAAAAATGATTCATATAGGCAAAATTAACATTACGCCAACAATTGGTTCATCAATTGAAATAACCTGATAAGACGATCAAAATTTATTGTATTCTACGTCTACATACAAAACTTCGACTCTTTTACAAAGACAATAAATGATGATATGAAAAGAATAGCGATTATGTATACTAATCAATAGATCCATAGAAAAACAAGAGATATGTACAAAAATGCTTTTGTTCCATTCACATGCTGTCCATTATTTGTGTGCTTATCATGCTGATACTAGTATATAAAGAGTAAAGTTCTTTTGAATAATTCTTGTGAATTCAAAATCAGATATCAAGTGAATGAATTTAACACTCAATGAAATACGATGGTATTCTTTTCTTTTTTCGGCATTGATTGCAAGTCGCATTCAAATTATGCTGATTCAAGATTTTTGAGATAGGCAAACTCGATGATAGACTTTCGGACTACAATGGACAACATACAGAACGATTCGTTTAGGTAAAGGGATTGTTGATGACAACGAGTAAATGATGAGATATCTAAGTAAAAATTAGTAATTCATCACCCTAAAAAAGTTCCCTCGAACACTTGATGTCTACAATTTTCAGAAAATAATCTTCTAGAACAATGATTCCGACCATCTTACCTGTCAATGTTCTTGTGTTTGAAGAGAAAAGACCATTACTTACACGTTTGTAAATGAAAAAACTTCTCTCTATATTTTTTTCTACTATGATAAAAAAACATGCATCATCATCAAAAATGCTGCCGTCAGTAGAAATAACAACACTCTGTCAATTACAGTAGTTTATAGTGTTTATAATTAGAGTAATTGACTTTCTTATGCCACCACTAGGATAATGACGTACTTTCTCCTGAACTGGGTTTGACGCTTGCGAACCAATCGCATTTGAAGACATCGGCTGGCGACAAATTATCTACATTGTTCATTGTTCACTATCATATGCGACAAAACTATTTGAAGTTGATGCCCATGTCGCCTTTTTTTAAACGACTGCGTCGCAGTTATCGTAGTGAAAGCTTATGAGAAAAGCTACGGTTACTACGATGCAGTTACACGTAACTGCGTTGCAGCATTCGCACCGTAAGATTCATCGTAATTGACACCAACCAATTATAAATGGCCCTTTCTTTTTTGTAATGGTCACATTCTAGCACAATGATTTAGCCACACAGACAAGAGACTATAAAAGTGACTCTCTGTGAGAATTCGGTTGAAAATTCATTCAGTCGTGACAGACGAAATATGTATTCCGAATGTAATGTTTTAATTTCATTTTAGCTTTCCACAATTTTTATTAGTTGTTAATTTTATACTTTTTGGATAAAATTTAAATTTTTTAATTAAATTTCTTTTTTTGATTTTAGATTTTTTTTCTTTTAATTTTTAAAATTTTTTTATTTATTTTTAGTTTTTCAGAATTGGACTTGTAATTTATTATTTAAATTTAATTTCTTTTTGTGCACTTAAAAAGCGAGTACACTATAGAATCGGTCTGTGTGTCCGTCCGGCCGTTTACACGATAACTCTTGAGAATTATGAACTGATTGTCATGAAAGCTTGTGCATAGAATTGTCTCATTGATATCTCGTCTAGTTCGAAGATGAGAATGATTCGTCAAAAAATTGCTGAGTTATCGCAAAAAATGTCATTATTTCGTGCACTTTTCTATGCGAACATTGACCTAACCCAGCTTTCGTAAAAAACTTTTTCTCTCATAATTAAAAAAACTTCAACTATTATATACCATTCCATAGAGAATTTGACGCGCTACAAAATGCTTTATAAAACATTAAGAAACAAGAAGGCTGAGTCATTTATTACAAAGATACTTAACACTAGTTTTTACTTCAAACATAGAAGTGATATGGCTACTTCTCATTTGCGATCATAAGCCGAATAAAATTGTAAAATGGGTGTGGGTGTGAGTGTGGGTGTGGGTGTGGGCGTGAGTATAGATAGAGAAAGGATAACACTCACACCCGCACCCACACCCACATCCACACCCACACCCACACCCCACACCCACACACCCACACCCACCCACACCCACACCCACCCACACCCCCCCACACCCCACACCCACACCCACACCCCACACCCACATCCATAAAGTTTAGGAAGATGTAGAGTTCGCTGTTGCTTTCTATGCAATTTAACATTTAGCTTAGGAAGTTGTAGAGTCCACTAGAAAATCTAGCATAAATCTAACTGAACGTAAAAAAGATTTAGAAGCGTCGCGTGTAGTTTGTTTGAAGCTAAACGAATGCGGCCTGAAAGTGTCACTTCTCATTTTGGAAGATTAGTGTAAGAACATGGCAGCAAAACAAAATTAGTTTCACATTTCAAGGTATTTGATTCAAAAAGCTTTATCAGCTCTGGATTAATTATGAATTTTGCTGCTTCACCAAAAAGAAGATTTTATAAGTGAGATGTACTGTCGAATAAATTGTCTTAAAAAACGCCAATGAAATCTTGTCGCATTTTAAACGAGGTCACTGAAGTAGATTGATCGTGTGAGTTTTTTATAAAATCTTTTTTGGAGCGTAGCAAGATCATAGATTTAGTTTAAGTACTATGAATCTTAATCTTAATGAGGAACACTTTTTGAAANAACAAAAAATGTTTTAATATGGTTTTTACGAAATTCTTTTCTTCGAAGATTATTAACAAAATCTTTATTAATATTAAATTTAAAAATTTTATTTACATTAAGATTTTTTATTAAAGATGTGTATAAAGCAATGATTGATATTAGTTCATCATCAAATAAATATCAAATATCACATGAACAAATTTTTTATCGAAGTCAAATTATATCTGAAGAAACACTTGGAAGAATTAAATCGAATATTGGTTAAAAGAATTTTTCTTTTTCTTTTTTGATTTTTAAATATTTATATTTGATTTATTTGTTTTTGTTTAGGTGAACTTTTATCAATAAATAATTTTTTCTTAGCAAATAAAAATCGACATAATGCATTATCATTTATTCGTCAAAATGTTTCATCAACTAATTTGGTTTATCGAGTTTTATTTGAAATTAAAATTCCTTCAGACTATAAATTTCAAAAACAACGTCCGGTTATTGATGTAACTCAGTTTTCTTCTGATGAATATACAACTTTATTCTTTATTGGTTCTATATTTCGAATTAATACAGTTATTTTTGATATTAATAATGATTGTTGGATTATAGAACTTACATTGTATGATGAACGAACAAATGAAGATTTTTCTCAAGTATTTGCATTTCTTAACGAACATCATACTCCGATAACTTTAGCTAATCTTCTTCGACGAATTTGTCCGAATTCTGCTAAACAATTTTATAAACATCTTTTAAAAGAAAATTCTGACTCATCTTCAAGACTTGAATGTTATCGTGGTCTTGGTCTATGTTCATATTCATGTGAAGATTATGAACAAGCATTAATCTATTTTGAAAAAGCTCTTGAAATGGAACCAGATGATCCATTAATAAAATCATCTTTACATAATTCAATTGGTATTGTTTATGCTCAACAGGATAATATTGATCAAGCACAAACTCATTTTTCTCAAGCATTAAAATATAGTTCATTACCATTACATATTGCATGTGCTCATTATAATTTAGCATTAATTTATGGTAAACAATGTTTATTTGATGAAGAACTTGATCATTATCAAGAAGCTTTTGAAATTCGTACAAATCAATTACCTTCGAATCATTTACAAATAGCTTCATTATTTAATAATATTGGTATTGCATATTCTAATTTGAATGAATATGATAAAGCTTTATCAAATTTAAGAAAAGCTCTTGAAATGAGACTTAAATTATTACCAGAAAATCATATTGATGTTGCAAGAAGTTATGCTAATATTGGAGCTGTTTATGTTAAAACTGAAGAATTTCGAATGGCTTTAGAATATTTTAATAAAGCACAACTTTTATTTGAGAACCAACAACCAATACCAGAAGAGGATATTCAACAAATTAATCAAAATATTAAAATTGTTAATGAAAAACTTCAGTAAATAATAAAATAATATTCTATTATATTTATTTAAAACTTTAT